CCAAATACATGAAATCGTCCGAAAATGTATATGGGAGCTATATCCAAATCTGAACCGATTTCAATTTAATTTGACAAATTCATTTTACAATTGGAAATACATGTCGTGTTTGGTCCACCAAATACATGAAATCGTCCGAAAATGTATATGGGAGCTATATCCAAATCTGAACCGATTTCAATTTAATTTGACAAATTCATTTTACAATTGGAAATACATGTCGTGTTTGGTCCACCAAATACATGAAATCGTCCGAAAATGTATATGGGAGCTATATCCAAATCTGAACCGATTTCAATATAATTTGGGAAATCATTTTTTTAGATAAAATCTATCACACGTTTCAAATTTCATTGAAATTAGAGATACATAGCGTGTTTGGTGCATCAAATACATGAAATCGGTCGAAAATATATATGGGAGCTATATCCAAATCTGAACCGATTTCAATTTAATTTGACAAATTCATTTTACAATTGGAAATACATGTCGTGTTTGGTCCACCAAATACATGAAATCGTCCGAAAATATATATGGGAGCTATATCCAAATCTGAACCGATTTCAATATAATTTGACTAATTTATTTTCGGATTAAATCCCGTCACACATTCCAAATTTCATTGGAATCGAACATTCATATTGTGTTTGAGGCATCAAATAAACGAAATCGGTCGAAAATATATATGGGAGCTATATCCAAATCTGAACCGATTACAATATAATTTGGCAAACTTATTTTTGTTCTAAATTCCGTTACGTATTCCAAATTTGGAGACTGTATCTTCAACCAATCAATAGATATGTGCATATAAAATCTAAATTTTTGGGAGGTACCTCCGATTCTGATGCTATATCTCCAGTTCCAAGCGGAAATTCAAAAATGTATATAGCCTATGTTACTTTCAGGCGATGTTGCAGTAAATATGGAAATTTTCAGGAAAATCTATTCAGCGGTTTTCGAGTCCATAAATTACAAACATACAAACATTTTCCTCTTTTATAGATATAGATATATATATAGATTTATCTAATTTTCATTAATTCATTAGGCCCTTTACTGCAATCTAACTCTTTTCTACTAGTTCTTGTTTGGTGAATGGTAGAGCTTAGCTCATATCTGATTTAAAAGATAATTAGTTGTATTCTTCCCCTAAATAAATATGGTTGCGTATATGCTTCAACAACACTGGGAAATATTACGACATTACTTTGAAAATCTTGGAAATGTTGCAGAATGTGTGACCAAATGTCGTATGGATTATGTCGCTGTTGTTGAACGAATTATCGAGGAGGATATTAGCAACATTTGGTTTCAACAGGACGGCACTAAGTGACACAGCGGAAACTACACTCGAATGTACTGAATGCGTATTATGGCTAGAACAGTTATAATTTGAAATCGAAAGGGTGAAATCGCTTAGATTAAAACATTATATCGGAGGTATAGATATATCTAAAGCATTTTCACGAGAAACCATCAGATTTGAGCTTAATATCAGTTTGGTGCACAATAACAGTGAAATCGGATGAATATATATATGAGAGCTATATACAAATCTGAAAAGATTTCTATAAAATTAACCAGAGGTATTTGTATTCTTTATCTGATAACTGGCACCAAATATCGTTGATGTGGAGTGCATTTAACTGGTGTGAGGGGCTTAAATACAAAATCGAATAAAACATATATATCGGACCTATAGCCATATATATACAGGGTTTCCTCCAGGCTGAACTCAGTTGTGTGTTGCAAAACCCACTCAGAGTTGTGCTAAACATTTGGTGCACAATAAACTTAAAATCAAATAAAAATACGTATGGGAGCTACACCTTAATCTAAATCGATCTCGATAAAATTTGGTAAGGGTATTTCTGAGCTGTACAGGGTGAGATGAAAAAATTGCAACCAACTTCAGACTGCTGTCATTTCTAAGCCACTCCTCCAACAGCTGTTAAAATTATTCCAGTGACATTATTTACAAGCGTACAAAAGCATGTTGGTGAGAATTTTCCAGAAAAAAAACTTATTCGTAGTGGAATTCAAGCGTGATAGTGTGATGTGGCTATTATTACAGCACTCCAGCATTTAAATGTGAATAAATCTTTTGTAACTCGTACCATAGCTCGTTACCGTGATACTAGTAGCGTAGCCCGAGGTCAAGGAAGTGGACGAAAGAAAACAGCAAGATCAGCAGAAATGGTTCGAAAAGTAAAGAAGCGACTGTGTCGCAGTGGCCGAAAAATAGCTCGTGAGCTGAACATATCGCAATATTCCATTCGGCAAATATTGAAAAATGAGCTCGGTGTAAAGCCATTGAAATTCCAAAAAGTGCAAGAACTTACACCGCAACAGAAAGAAAATCGACTCAAAAGAGCTAAAAAGTTGTTTCGTGTGGCTGAAAGTGGTGAACTGCCAAATTTGGTTTTCTCCGATGAGAAAACATTCGAAGTCCAGCAGTTTGTAAACAAACAAAAAGATGGTTTTTACTTGTCAAAGAGGTCAGCTGAATATGTGCTCCACCAGAACTCAAGCGCCGTTATAACAGGCGATGGTCGCTCTCCGCTCATATTAATCGACCGTGGAATCAGAATAAATACCGAATATTATCGCAAAAATATTCTGGAGGGAGTATTAAAGCCTTGGGCACGAAAACATTTTCACCAACAGGACTCAGCACCATTGCACTCAGTACGCTCCCCCCTAGAATGGTTACAAAATGAGGTTCCTCGCTTCATTTCCAGCGAAAAATGTCCACCAAAATCTCCGGATACCCATCCGTTGGACTATTGTGTCTGGAGTATTTTGGAAAGCAAGGTTGGCACTAAAAAATACCAAAGTGTCGATCACCTCAGGCAAGCGCTTTGCTGGGAATGGACCAAAATACCGCAGAGCAACATTCTTAAATTTAATTCTATTTCCGACATTTTTATACATTTTTTATACCCTACACCACAAAGTGGTCAGGGTATTATGTCTTTGTGCATTTGTTTGTAACAGGCAAAAGGAAACGAGATAGACCCATAGTTCCTTTTGATGATCTGCATAGAATCACATTCTGAGTCGATTTATGCATGTCCGTCCGTCCGTCCGTCTGTCCTTGTATTTTTGTAAACAAAGTACAGTTCGCATTTATTGCCCTATCCAGATGAAATTTTGCACAAATCATTTTTTTGGCCCAAGGACGAACCCAATTAAAATTGGAGATAATCGGTCAAAATTTAGATACAGCTACCATATATATTTTCGTCCGATTTGCCTTTTATTGTGCACCAAACGTGTAGTATCAATCCGAATAGTATGGAATTTTGCACGTACAATTAGAGTAGACCTGAAAATAAGTATGCCAAATTTGATCGAAATCGGTTCAGATATAGCTATAGCTCCCATATATATTGTTCATCCGATTTGTTATTTTTGTCTTCCGCAGCCGTAATATGCTCTTTGTAACAACAGTATTTGGGGAAATATATCAAATACAGCTCAGAAATACATTTTCTAAATTTTATCGAGATCGGTTCAGATTTGGATATATAACTTCGTCCGATTTACCTTTGACTGTGCTCCAAACCTGTAATATTTGCCCATTTGGATGAAATTCGGCACATTCGACCGAATTGAGTCTAGAAGCTAGTATGTCAAATTTGGTGAAGATCGGTTCAGATATAGCAATAGCTCCCATATATACTGTTCATCCAATTTGTCACCCACAGCCGTAATATGCACTCCGTAACAACGATATTCAGGAAAATAGAAATGCTTCGGCATATTTAGTCCTTTGAACTTTAAATTATAATTATAATCATAGCGTGTATGATTGAATTCTCCCATAAAAACTTTTAATTGTTATGCGCAGCTCTATTAAATTAGCAAAGCGGTGTAGGGTATCATAAAGTCGGGCCCGAACGACTTTAAGACTTTTTTACTAGTTTTCTTTCATTCAATAAAATTTAAAAAAATTTAAAAATTGTGGCGTTTGACTTTGTTGCAGTTTTTTTATTTCACCCTGTATATTCCCTCTGCAACCATAAGGCTAAGAATATAAATAATCTAATTAATCCATCAAATTTACAGCAAATTCGTTTATAAAATGTAATATAAATCTTTATAACGCCGAATATAGACATATGGCGCCCAAATAGAAATTGACCAATTATACAAAAGCTGTAGGTACCACAAATAACTGAACTGTAAAACATTTAGAACCCATTATCTTTGGTAAATATTTTGTTTTGGGACAATTGAAGAGAGCTTGGCCTGTCCACCTTCTTATCGGAAAGTCCTTCAAGGCCCACAATATAGTTTCTTATAATTAAAATACCACACGAATTGTATGTTCTAATGAATATCAAAAAATCAAGCAGCATTATTTCTATTTGCAAAACATTGAATGATGAGCATGCGCAACGCCCCATTTTTTTTCTGTTCGTTGTTGTTGGTGTGTGTATTTTTTGTAGAACTGCCTCATCCAGTGGTGGGGCTATGAGAACAAATTGTAGAACCACTTGTTACGCTACACCACATACAAATGTTACGTATACGACACAGTTGCATCAATTGCAACGTTAATGGCAGTGCATCAAAGCTTTACCATATTGTTGTTGTTCTAAAACAAGCTTTTCATTCAACGATTTGCAGATCTGCCGGTATTTGCTCTCATGAGATGAGCAAATACCATGCCTTTGTGGGCTCTCTATCTCGCTTTTCTGCCGAGACTTGTAAATGTGTTGGGATGTTCGTTGAGTGTTGCTGGAGATGCTTTCGTGTTACGTTGCAGCACATATTGTTGTTGTTGCCGCTGCTGTTACCATTAGAAACGAAACAACATGGCATTGTTGTTCGTTTACCTGTTGCCGCCGCACTTGATGTAATAGCTGTATAGCATTTTGCGAGAAGATACTCACAACCCATGGCATCGAAGATATGGCTATGTGGGTATGTCAGAAGGTATTGCAGCATGCTTGTTTCGACGAACGGGTCGTCGATGGTATAAAAACGTTTGCATTTTCTAAACAAACAACAAAGCAAATCTGTCGAGTCTTAAGACGTGGTCGTGTCACTCAGCCAGAAAACGCGTGTGTTCTTTAACATCGAAATCAAAAAACAAATTCAACAGAACACCAACTGAACATCCTTGCAAAGGACATTCAAACAAAAAGAGAACCGCTTTGAAGTGTTTTAGAGAAAAATCTTGCAACAAAAAGTGAGTTGCGCTGATCATATTCCAAAATGAGAACGTTATAAAATATTGTAAAGAAGAGGCAATTGGTTATAAAAATTCAAATAATACAGCCTTAAAAGGAATAAAATGTGTGGACCAACTGAAAGTGGTCAATTGTGAAAATAATGATTGTTAAAACGGTACAATATTCGACATTTCGATAGAAAATAAATATATGGTGAATAAACCCAAAATTAAAAATGATCGTTGTGTGCCGTGTTCTAAGATTTTACAATCATTTATTACTGACTTGTGCAAAAAATATGTTTACCGGTTGACCAATCAGGACCGAAAATTTGATTTTTAAATTTATTAAGAAATGTTTAAAATAAGATTCAGGGAATTGTTGTTCTGTTTGCCGTTGATTGTCGAAATGAAATGAATTCGATAGCAGAACACTATTCTATCTATGTTTGATGAAATGAAAAATGAAAAACGCATAAACAGGGCCTGTTTAATGTTGCTATTGTAATATACTTAATGGGTCTTTAAATTTGCACTTGCATTAAACATGACATTCTAGGGTTTCAAAATTCCTTAACTCATGCATTTTATGTTTCAGAACTGTAACTTTTAATTGTATCTAAGTCAAAAATTTGACAAGAACGCCAAATCAATGGTATTTTAAAGACAACACTTTTTTCAAGTACAACGGACACTAGATAGACTATGATCTTCTCACAATAATTTTCAGTACAAATCGAAATTTTATAATAGTTGTTCTTCATTTCCATTTCTCAACATTGACGTACGCATTAAAACAAAAATATTTCTGGCCCCAAAATTTCAAAACAGACCTTAAGCTCTTTTCCCTTCCCTTTTTGTGGTGGGTTTGAAAATACGTACTAAATTGAGTTTTGAATAAAGCGATGAAGTTGAAATCTAGTTTATCTGAGTCCAGTTCATTTCTAAACCCTCCATCAAAGTATGCTGGAGTATTTACTAAATATGCCATTATATTTGTAACACATCAAAATATAAATTTTAGACCCCACAAAGTATTTATATTCTTGATCTGAATAAAGTTCCATGTAGATTTAGTGATGCCAGTCCGTCTGTATGTGTAAATCAACCTAGCCTCTGAGCTGAGGCTGATAAAATTTGAATTAGATGTGTTTTACGTCTGCAGGACTTTTAGTATTGAAAATGGGCTATTTAGGTCCATGTTTTGGTATAGCCCCATGTAACTGTTACTCCAGATATTCGGTATTTTGATTATTTGTGCCCATATAACGGTGCCTGCCAATATTCGGTATTTTGATGATTTTTGCAATATTATTCAGCGGAATTGTTTCAAGTTTCGTAATTGAATATCATAATGTCCTATGGCAAAAAATTGCATATACAGATCCACATCTTTGTATAGTTTCCAATATATCGGTAACTCTCTATTCGTCATTTTTATGATTTTAGCAGTATTTTTCATCGGCATTTTTTGTGACAATTTTGCAATTCTTTCCAAATGATATAGGCTATACAAAGTTTGACTCGGCCGAACTTATTGCTTTTTGACTTCTTATAACTGACCTATTTCAAGATTCTAGTTCATAGTTCGCTAACTACTTCAATCGTTCATTAGCAAATTTTTAGGGAAACAAAATGAAACTTGAGGAAGAAAGTTCAAATTTAAGACGTGCTCTTAGTCCTCCTTTGGAATTGAAATTAGTTTCATATACTAAAGTTTGGTTATTTTCTGTTTAATATTTTACCAATATTTGCAAAAATATGTTCCGGTGATTTATCTCAAAGCAATAGAAGGAGTCTCTTTACGCTTCAATGAAAATGCTCACCTATGAATTGTTCGCTTGAACTAGTCCGTTCGTAGTATTTTCAGCTATAATATCCATGTGAATCTTTCAGGTTTTTATCGCATGAAATGGATATACTAATTGTTATAGCAATCATATAACCTATTGAAATTAACACATTTGAAGATTTCAGTTATATGTTCTGAACAAATTAGCAGAAAATTTGTAGTATACGTTCAATAGTTGATATAGTCCACATACATTGGAACAATGCTGAATTTCTGTGCTTACAAGATCTCCGCAACAATTTTCAACCAAACTAAATGTTATTTCATATTTGGATGTTTTGACGACTACAGGTCATATAGGCCCAGCATAAATTCCTGTAAGCTAAAAATAATTGCCTATTCCTAAAAATACGAAGCAAAAGCCTTACCTTTTCTATTATCAAGTAATGAGTTATGTCAAAACAAAAACTAACGTTGTAATCTAGAGATTCGGTACATCTTATTTTTTTTTTCTTATTTTTTTCACATTTTGAGTTCTTATTGAATGAACATTTTCCAATACCTGTTATCAGTTATTACATTAGACCTATAAAGTTGTTCCTCCCGAACTGTTGACCAGCTATATTTTCCATCTAAATGGACGATATCTCCAACCCTATTACCGCAATGTTAGCGTTTTTAAGGAATTGGTTTATTTCAATGCAATACTTCACTGTGTTTGGAGGATATTATAAGTTTGAAACCCCTCGAAATATTTAAAATCCTAGACCTCCGACTCGAATTTTTTTGATACCGAAATTAAAATATCTGAAATGGAACTTCTGACCTCTACATTGATGCTGATTTTGTTGACGTGTATCATCAGGTGTCAGAGATATAGCAAAATATATACAGGAATCTTAATTTTTAAATATTGTCTTAAAAACCCATTAAGACGACAGAAAACGGATATATAGGGCAATTGTCGCGAAAATAAGTCTCATGGCTCCGGTCAAAAACAAAGATAACCCTTTCGTATGACTTTATAACATTATTAAGTTACCAACAGTGGAGGGTAAAAAAGTTCGTCAGTTTCTACTTGCTTTTGTATGAATATCTATTTTTTCCGTACCAAGTTATCACCCTCAGATGTACTGCTTTTTTTTCAGCCTTTTAAGAATTTAAATTTGTAGGAAATACCTTTTTTGGCCATCTGGCGCGACTTTCAACCGAACTCGATTTTGCGCCAGTCTATGCAGAAAATGTTTCTACCACTGTTGAATTTCGTGTTAGTCCAAAATATCTACAACAAATGCCATACAAAATTAAAAATATTTGGTTCAATTTCTGAATAAACAAAAGTTGTCTAAAATTGAACAAATGTATGCCATTTAAAAAAATGTATCCACAACTTTTTCAGTAAATTGGACAAATTACTTAGAATTTAAAAAATCTCCAAAAATCATTATGAAATCTCGTTTCAATGGTATAAAGTTTCCTTCTAAATATGACACCTGATTTTATGTCTAAACTACTAAACATTATCGTGTCCCCTTCATCCACTCCAGTCAAATTCATTTACGACTATTTAAGATGCTTCCCAGCATGCAACCACCATCTCTTGAGTCACTACAAATAAACATCCGAATTCACCAACAACATTGTGACAGTTTCCAATTGACTGTTTGTTTACACTTCGTTTCACTTTCGATTAAAAATATTGTCAATTGTAAACGTTGACGCTACTAAATGTCATCCACTCACAATTTATTTGCATGGAAAACTAGATTCTTGCTGAGCAACCGATGCAGATTACATGGCTGCTTCCAATAGAGGCAATGCTTCTTTTTCACGAGGAGGCAATGCATATACAATAACGAAAATGTAATACATTTTCAAATAATTATTAATAGAATTGTTTTTATTGAAATAAATTCCTGGAAACGTAGTAGAACACAATTTATATATTCTCTTAGTACTTAATTGAATTGTTGTTACAAACGAGCATATTTTAGTTGCAAACGATTCACAACATGTTGTCGTAATACAATTCCGAATCATTTGTTGCTTTTCACTTTCGATCTTTCAATTGAAAAAAACAAAATGTTTGCTTCCATAAATTGTACCATCATTTGTTTAATTTATTAACCTGACATTTGGAACAACATTTTATTACGAAAGCTAGCATAAAAATAGTGTTAGATTCCATGATTTATAGGCAACGTTTTCTAAGTCAATTTTTCTTCTACTTTTATTTTACAGATCACCATGAACTCCATTGTCTTTGTTGCGCTTTGTTGTTTAGCTGTCGTGTCGGCTCAAAGAGGCATACCACCACGTCCAACATCGTTCGAAGGAAATGCTGTCATTCTGAAGCAGGATTTCAATTTGAACCCTGATGGCTCGTACAACTACAAGTAAGTAGATCAATGTTTTCTGAAAAAATGGGGCAAACAACATTTTATGTATCAATGTATACCCTACAACAATATGGTGTATGGTATATGGGACAAAACTCAATAGCGATAATCGACGAGTTGATTCGATATATTTATATGTGTTCATCGAGCTTCTGTCCATGTTAATTTGTAATCAAACTACTAGTCCCGACTATGGCCAGATTCTGAGAAAATATGCACGGAGTTAAGGTTGGGGTCATAAGGGAAGCCTTTGAACTTTAGACATGATCGGAAAATATGTGGGGGAGGCAAAAAACAATAAACAGAATTTCCTCCTGATTTTGCAGTCATTCTACAGGTCAAAATTATGAACCAATACTATTACGAACTCCAACACCAAGTTTAAGATAAAACAAGTTAAAAAGCAGTAAGTTCGGCCGGAACTTAATGGTGGAATACCCTCAACCATTTACAACGAATTTGAAAATTTTCGAAAAAGATAACATTCGCCAAAAATTCAGTTAACATTTTAAAAATACCGAATATAGCCGTTATATTAGGGCCTGTACGACGTGCACATACATAGGCATTGTTTGTCACAAGCCATTACCATATTCAAATTCGAAACGAAAGCCAAAATCATCAAAATACCGTACATAGGGAGGTACCGTTATATAGGAGCTATACAAAGACCTGGACCTGCATAGACAATTTTCTGTCAGAGGCTGTAGCTTCCATTACGAACTTCAAATACGACATCTCAAACAATTTCGGTGAGTATTGTACCTAAAATCATCAAAATACCGAATATAAGGAGGTACTGATATTGAGGCCTATACGAAGACCTGGACCTGCATAGGCAATTTTCTGTCACGGACCGTAGTTCCCATTACGAACTCTAAATATGTAATTTGAAACTACTACGGTGAATAATGTCGTTAAAATCATCAAAATACCGAATATCGGGAGGTACCGTTATATGGGGGCTATATGAAGACGTGGATCTGCACAAACATTTTTTTTTGTCTTAGTATGTAGTATCCCTTTCGAATTTCAAATATCAAATTTTAAACAATTCCGGTGAATGCCGTTATATGGATGCTACACGAGGACATGAAATGTTGTGGTCAACTTTCAGTCATAGGAAGCCCACTGCGGTGTGGCCACCAAAACTTAGACCTTTATGTACAAGGATGTTTCGTACAAACGGAGAACACATACTTCCAATTTACAGCAAATTCGGCTCGAAATTGTGACTGAAACACCCAAAAATTCTCAAAACAGCCGGAGCAGTTATATGGGGTCCATACCAAAACTTGGACCTATATAGCCAAATACAAAAAGTCCTGCAGACCTAAAACTCATCTGAGTAAACAGAGACTTTTTTACTCTAGCAAAAGTCGACATCGAAGTTTAGAGTTGTTAATACCAAAAGTCGTTATATCGAAAGTAGATTTGCATATTCCTCTTAAAAAATCTTCTCAGCTACCCAATGCAACTTTCGGTGATTCTCACAAAGCTTTTTCAAGAATAAGATTGGCCAAGACGAATGGTCTGTTGTTGAAGGCAATGATGGGAAGGGAGTCTTTGCCGAAGAAACTCGGCGTTTACCGTATCAAATTTCGTGTCACAAGGACCAAATCTAGCAAGCTGTGTCAATGTAATCCGATTTCAAGGGACATCCACCACCACCACCATTTCAAGGGACATCCACCATCCACCGTGAAAAACATGGCGCTATATTTTTTCTCTGCCGATTTTGCAGCCCTCTGATCATTACCCACGTTGAGTCCCTCTCTCTCGTCAGTTCTACACATAACTGCTAGCCTCAAACCAAGCATGCATTATTCCCTGAAGTCAAACTCACACGCGGTAGGTCGATACTGAAAAGAGTATATAGGGAGTTTCCGTTGTATTGGGGTCTTTACGAAAACGTGGAGCAGCATAGGCCATTACAATATGCAAATACTAAACTTGACACAATTCCGGTGAATAATGTCGCAAAAACATCAGACTATCGAATATATGGAGGTACCGTTATATGGGGGATATACGAAGACCTGGACTTGCAGAGCAAATTTTCTGCCACAGGCCGTACCATTACGAAGTGCAAATACGAAATTATCAACCTACTAGAGTGATTTCTCCAAACGGACAGACAGACGTACGGACATCGTTAAATCAGCATAGAATTGTATGCTGATCAAGAATATTTTTCACAAATTAATCAGCTTTTTTGCATTATTCTTATTCTTTATATTAGATTTTATTACTCATAATTATATACAACGCCCAAAATAATTACTTTATCATCTGTTTCATTACTTTTTTTCCAGCTACGAAACAAGCAATGGAATTCGTGCCGACGAAGCTGGTTATCTGAAAAATGCCGGCAATCCCCAACTAGAAGCTCAGGTAAGTAACATTTATTAAACTCAATAACTAAAACACTTAAACATTTCGTGCATAAGCGTCAAATTTAAAAGTTTAAAAGATTTATGCCCAAGTTGAATAGTTTATCTTTTTTGAAAATACAAAATTTGCATAATTATGTCATTTAAATGTCTACTTTATCTATGGGCGGTTACATCAAATGTCAAGATAGGATTTATGAAGTGGTTGAGGTGTGTGTGGCCGGCAACCACAAGATTGATATATGAGGAAAGATTAGAGTTTCGAAGCCAGCAACAAAAATATTTTTTAATGAAGGCTCAAAAGCTCTGTTATTTAAAGTCAGAAGTTTAAGGCATACCTTAAGGCGCCTATTAGGCTGCAGTTGGTCATATCGTTGCCATATTAATAGAAAATATAAATATGTCCAAAACTGAGAAATTGTAGAAAAAATTATATAGTGAAAAGATTCAAGGACTTCCACACGAAAAGAAGAAATAAGATGTTTGCTAAAACCAGCACATCTTCAAAATATTTCATTTATATTACTCCAAAGAGGTTAGGCAACATCGATAGGCATTTTGGCTCCCAAAGAAGGATATAATTACACCTGATATGTTGTTAAAGCTTTAGTCAGAATCGTATAGAATATATATACCCTACACCACATAGTGGTAAGGGGTATTATGTCCTTGTGCATTTTTTCGTAACATGGAGAAGGAAGCGAGATGGGCCCATAGTAACTTTTGAGGATCTTCAGAGAAACACTTTCTGAGTGGCTGTATGCATGTCAATCCGTCTGGCTGTCCGCCCGTTCGTCCATGTATTCTTGTGAACAAAATACAGTTCGCATTTATTATCCGATTGAGCTGAAAATTTCCAAGCAATATTTGTTTGGCCCAAGGACGAATCCTTTTGAAATTGGTGATAACCGGATCAGATTTAGATATAGCTCCCATGCATCTTCATTCACATTAGCCCAAATTGACTGAATTTGGCAATTACGACTGAATTCATCCTAGAAACATGTACTTCAAATTTGGTAAATCTGTTCAGATATAGCTATAGCTCCCATATATATATTTTATCCGATTTGGGGTTTAAAGTCCCTCACAAGCGTAAAATGCTGCCGATACTGCTCTGAAATAAGTGTGTCAAATTTTGTCAAGATCGGTTCAGACTTGGACATAGCCTCAACCGATTTCGGGTTAATTGTGCACCAAATAGCCAATATCAGTCTAAATGACCTGAATTTTGGCATATCCGACCGAATTCAGTCTAGAAGCAAGTACATTAAAATCGGTTCAGATATAGCTATAGCTCCCATGCAAATGTTTCATCCGATTTGGAGTTTAAGTCCCTCATATTCTTAATATGCATTCGGCAACATTGATATTTGGTACCAGATATCTTATAGAGCTCCGAAATACCTTTGTCAAATTTTATCGAGAACGGCTAAGATTTAGATATAGCTCCCATATATATCTTCAACCGATTTCGGGTTAATTGTGCACCAAATGGCCAATATCGGTCCAAAAGTTTTGCATTTTAGTACATCTGACTTAATTCAGTCGAAAAGCAAGTACATCAAATTCGGAGAAAATCGGTTCAGATATTGCAATAGCTCCCATATGTGGAGCTCGGTTCCGATATATATTTTTTTTAATATAATCCTTCTCGAAGTGATATCATACAAATAATAGCAATGTTATTTGGTATAAAAGATTAAAATGTCTCTGTCAATTTAATTTAATTTCGATTCAGAATTGGATATGCCATCCATATATTAGTTCCCTGTGAAACCAAACTGTAACTGCTCTAAAGCCAAACGTTGATAGGTGGTATGATCTACTTCAAATAAATTCTTTTGTTACGGTGGTGTAGGGTATCATATAATCGGCCGCCAGACTTTAGAATGTTTCTTACTGGTTTTAATCTGTAAAAAATTCTGACACAGAACAAAATCTATCAATTTATTTTATAGCGCTTTACATAAATGACATTTTTAGTTGGGAGCTGTTAATTGGTAAAAACAAAATATACATCCAATTTTCCTAATATTGCTTCGTAAATTTTTATACAGAAAATTAAATTGTTTGTACTTTATTTGACATATTTTATCAAATCAATAATATTTGTTTTTTTTTTATTATTCCAGGTCATGCAAGGTTCTTACTCTTACACTGGTCCCGACGGTGTTGTCTATACCATTACCTATATTGCTGATGAGAATGGTTATCGCGCTGAAGGTGCCCATATTCCCACACCACCACCAGTGGCTGCTCCCGGTCCACGAGGACGATTCTTTTAAGTGAATTTCCCAACTATCCCAGCAGAAGAAATTTCTACAAAAGAATACTACAGCCACGGAACATAAATGAGATTATTTCACACTACTTCACAGGCAAAAACAAAAATAGTTGTGTTCTACGATGTAAAAAACAAGAAGCTGCAATTTTTCCTTAACTAATTAACACGCAAGAGTGGCAACACTTGAGAGTAAAGCAAACACACACAATCATTTATTAATCAACAATCTTTTTTACACCTTAAAAACCCGCAAAAACAACACAGACCATGCAACAAACATTTCCACAGACATACATACATATGTATTAAATACTCAATATTATACTTTACCCCCTTCTCTTCTACAACCCCTATAACTTTTCTTATACGATTAGCAGGAAGAGCATTGTTTATATCTATCTCTATATATTTACCAATCACACACACTATGCACTTGTTTCCATCATCTTGACATTTTCACATCTCCTCTCGTTCTCCACTGCGCTATAGTTTTCAATCGATTTATCTGCTTTTCAATGCTGAAAGTATTTTTGTGATCATTATCTATTTTCATATACTCTGTATAACTTTTCTTAATTATTTAACAATTTCAGCTGTTTTTTTTTTTATTTTCCAATAATTTTTATTGTATATTTTTTTCGCTATTAGTTAATAAACATTTATTTTTGTAAAAGAAATCTGTTTTGTTTGTAGAAATTAAAATGACATTTGTTTAAATTATTTGTTTGTATAATTTCGAAATAAGTTTGTTTATTTTTACACAAGAAATATGGCAACTACGCAATAAATAAACTTGCGATAAAGAAAACCTTACAACTGAGCTTTTTATTGTCAAGCACACAGTCTCAAATCTAAGATGGAATTGAACTTGTATGGGATGATGTCTTAGATGAATATGCAGCATATAACTGCATAGATCCTCTAATTATAGGACGTGGAATGTTCAGAATAAAAATAAGCTTTTAGCGCATTTAGCGACTTCTAAAACAATGGTTCAAACGTTGTTTAGACCAATTTAATATGATATTAAACGTCAGTCAGCAGGTATATATTTACATCCGCACTTTTTGGATTTGCAAAAAAATGGTCGAAAATTAGATCAGTAAGGAAAGGTCAAAAGTCGGGCTGGGCCGACTATATGATATCCTACACCATTATTATCATGGCTATAGAGTATTCACAATTTGGGAACTATATCCAACTCTGAATTGATTTTCAACAAATTTGACGGTGGTTTTTGTACCTCTAGTACAAAATAACATTGCAGTACGAGTATATAACTTCGACATTAAATATGTTAAAAAATATTTATTGGAGCAATAGATATACCGAACCGAGCTTCACCAACAACGAACAATTCGGTTGAATATGAACAATCTATCCAATTTGGGATGATATTACATATATGGTGGGCAATAACCGTAAAATCGGATGATGATCTGTAAAATCTGAACCGATCTCGATAAAATTTGGCAGAGGTATTTTCCAGCTATATCTGATGTCCGGTATCAAATATCATTATGGTGGTGTGTATACATATTACGCATGTGAGGGACTTTAACACCAAATCGGATGAAACATATATATGGGATCTCTATCTGAACCGATGTTCACCAAATTTTGAAGAACTCGCTTCTGGGCTGAATTCTGTCAGAAGTGCCAAAAATCAATACATTTGGGCTGATATTAGGCATTTGGTGCACAATAAAGCTGATATCAGATAAAGATATATATGTTAGCATGTAAGGGACGTAAAATATATGGGAACTATATCCAAATCTGATCCGATCATTATAAGAATTATGGGTCTATCACGTTTCCTTCTTCATGTTACAAACAAATTCACAAAGACAATACCCTTACTACTGTGTGGTGAAGGGTATAAAAAGGAAAGAAGTGATGTTTATGTTAAGTTTTTCAAATCGGATGTATGCATTTTTCAACAATTTTTACAAATTTCAATAACATTTCATTCAAAATTTTAATTTCTAAAATCTGTTTGACAGTTCATTGTCCCAGCAGCTGCCACGTTAGAAAACAAAAATTGTAAGAATTTTCATTGTTTTTACGTAAAAATGAAAATAAAACACTAATATTTCTATTTCCAGATGTCAAGAGAATAGAAGCGAAGTGTCCGACCCAGATGTTTTGTTGGATCTGCCTCAGGGATATGCACATGTTACTCTTTGTGTGCACGCAACGCAGCCACATCAAGATGTTTTAAATATTTTTTTATTATAAAGAAAGCATTTGACAGGGCACAATGTTGGTTGTGTTTTAAAGCGTTTAGAGAAAAGCAATCAGAGTTAAAACAATTTAAAAAGCAGTAAGTTCGGCCAGGCCGAACTTTGAATACCCTCCACCATTTGGAACGAATTTGGAAATTTCCAAAAAATAAAATCCTTAAAAAATCCTCTTAAAATTTTAAAAATACAGTAGACCAACAAAGGCATTTTTTGTCATAAGCCATTACCATATTCAAATTCGAAATTTGAAATAAAAGGTGAATAATGTAGTAAATAAAATATCGTATATAGGGAGTTACCGTTATATCGGAGCTGTGCGAAGACCTGGACCAGGATAGACAGTTTTCTGTCACAGGCTGTAGCATCCATTACGAACTTCAAATACGACATCTAAAACAATTTCGTTGGGTATTGTACCTAAACTCGTCGAAATACCGAATATAGGGAGGTACTGTATATGGGGCCTATACGAAGACCTGGACCTGTTTAGACAATTTTCTGTCACAGAATGTTGCTCCCATTACGAACTCTAAATACGTAATTTGAAACAATTCCGGTGAATAATGTCGCTAAAATCATCAAAATGTAGACCTATTGAAAAAAAGAACAAAACTAAAGCATAATGGGTCAAATACGAAAGTCTTGCCATTTCTGATGGTCCGTACATTTAGGGTATTTTAATAAAAACTATGCAAATCTTTGGACAAGGTATCAATACCGCCGAGCCTCACCCTTGACTTTCTTGATGAAAACACTAACATTAACGATGTGATTTGACGAAATAAATTTTTGATCTCTTTTATTTATTTTTTGGTTAAACAAGTAAAAAAACATTAAGTTCGTCCGGGCTGAACTTTTAATACCATCCACAATTGGGCAAAGAAAACATTTTTATATAGAAGTATTGTAATTCAACCGTGTTCCACTTTAAACTACAAAAAAAAAATTGTGAGTGAGTCCATTATATGGGGGACCAAAAAGGGTAAAAATTTAGACAACATTATACTACAAGAATTTTTATCTACTGCAAGTCTTAAATGCCTAATTTGAAAAAATTCCTTGGGCAAATGTGACAAGGATTATCAAAATTCCGAATATCGGTGAGTACCATTAAATGGCGGCTATAGAAAACACGGGTCTAGATATTCAATTTTCTGCCGCTGGAGGGAAAACCCATTAAGAACAACAAATACCAATTTCTAGACGAATCCGTGGATAATGTGAAAACATCACCAAAATACGGAATATCAGGAGTTACCGTTATATGGGGTCTATACGAAAACGTGGATCCATACATGCAATGTTTTACCACCGAAGCTACAGCCCATTATGACCTACAAATACCAATTTTTAGGCAATTACGTGGGAAAATGTGGAAAAAATCATGAAAATACCGAATATCGGGAGGTACCGTTATATGGGGGCTATACGAAAATACGGACCTATACAAGTATGGCCTCTATGGAACATGCTGCTTGCGTACATATATACTTTTTAATTTTAATTCTTGATGATTCTTTCACATCTACACTAGTCAATACACTTATTCGTACAACAAATTTTCACAGTCAGTCATCATCATTATAGCAAATATATTCAAAACTATTGAGACTGTTAAGATGAAAAGTTTAAAATTGACGCCATCGAGTACATTTTGTCATAAATGTAGTGTAAACTCAATTTCATCTTTTAGCAATAAATATGACGAAGCACATTTGAAATTCGCGCTTCAGTCATCCACTTAAAATGTTTTCAAAAGCCTCCTTAACATACTCATTAACTCAATTAAATGCGTCTAAACTGATTGGCTAGTGGGTGAGCGTGTAAACCCCCGTTAAACATAATTGTGTGACAATTTGTAATTTCATTTGAAAGAAGAATTTATTTATAAATAATATTCACAACACTTGGCCAGCATCAGTATTATTACTCTAATCATTCAACATGAAGTTATTGGTTTGCTGTCTATTCCTTTTGGCTATACTCCAATTAAACGCTGCAAAAAAGAACAGTAACCAAACTTCAAATAGAATTCGTGAGAAACGACAATTAGATGGTTTGGTTGGAGGAAATGTTGGTAAAGAGTTAGGCAAAATACGCCAAGGATTGTCCGGTCGTTTAGAAGGTTTGAGAAAACAACTTGGTGGCGGTTTACAAAAAGGCTTTGGCTCAATTTCGCAAGGCATTGGAGGCAATCGACAAGCATCACGGCGTGGAGGACCAAAGAGAAAATCAGATTCTCTAATAGGCAATCCTTTTGAAAGATTGCTTGAGAGTCGCACCGAATCCCGACAAAGTGGCTCCGGTGGAAGTAGTTTATTTGATGGATTATTAGGGTAAAATTTGTACGATTTTTGGAAATAAATATTAATGGTAATAAGTCAAAAAAATGTTCCGATGTAATGCACTAATTTAAGCCTGTTTTAAATTTGTAATCCTAAAACTCGGAGTCGATTCCTTAAGTTTACTCAGAAAGTGATTTTACTCTTCGGATGCGTGGTGAATAAGAACAATCTAGAAATAACGGGAATTCTTGACTTAATGTCGAAAGAAAATCAAAAATTCAAATTCTTAGTGGGTATTTTTCTATTTCTATTTATTTCATTTGAGTAAAATTAAAAAATTGAAAAACAAACATAGATTTTGTGTTTTTTACGTTTTTTTTTTTTTTTTTCAAAATACAGAAGTAACAAGTAAGCAAAGGCTATAGTCGTGCGGGGCCGACCATGTAATACCCTACAACACTACAATATGTTAAAAGCCCTCTTATGTCCAAATCCATTTTGGAAGATTTCGCTTTTGAAATTATGCCCAGATATTAGCCTTATCATTTTGACCAGAGACATTTGCTTAATATTTACGCACTCCGTCGTGCTGTAAGCTATTGTGGTCTATTTTACAGCTTAATATAATCCAATGGTCATCCAAAATGCTAGAATTCTTCCCTGTCCTTAACTCTGTTCTCAGGCGTGTCGATTGGCCTCAATTGTGTGATCGGGAATTTTTTTCTATATTAAGTTCATTTGAACCACCAAATATTTTGCAATCATCTAAATTTAGACTCATCTATATGATTTGGTTTTCTACGATATTTGGCTAAATTCGTCAACGAAATCAGCATAAAAAAGCCAGAAGTTCGCCTCTTGTGTATTTTGGATATCGCCTGTAAAATATATTCAGCGTTTCGGTTGAAAGAAATTTTGGTAGTTTTTAACACAAAAGTAGTGGTCCATCCCGCTGTCCTAAACTCTAACTTCATGCGAGATTTCGTGTCCTTTGGTTTCTATTTGTGACCTTTTTAACGGCTGAAAAATCAAGAACATTTTTAGTTGTTGGTCCATTTCAACCCCTAAATATATTGCGGACATCTTTGAAAACAATAGGCCTAGCGCTTCTGAGCCTAGTCCTACCCTTGTAAAAATAATTGCAATATGTATATAATAACTCTAACATGTGTTCTGAAGTGAAAAAATATTACAAAATGTACACTTTAATATTATAAGTCAGAATGAAAAAATAGCATGCGATAAAAAATACAAAAAAAATTA